TTACGTATTTCACATTTCATTGTTCCAAATTAGTAACACTTTTTATGTGCTTTGTAATCCAAACTTTTAATTATTATTAATTTCTTTTAATTTACAGTCCAATAAATTTTATAGTTTATCATAATATTTACCGATGACAATATATATATTAATTTCTCAAGTTTTAACTGTTATTACTTCAAATTTTAGACAATTTAATATAAACATTTTTTGAGTTTGAATTTAATTTTGAAAATTTTTTGTCAATTTATTTATAATTTAAAATTAAGAATAAAATTATTTTCTAAAAATTGAAAAATTTTATAGAGATTTTATAACTAATTATAATCAAAAAATGTTATTTTAAAAACCATAAAATATTTTGTATAACTTTTAAAAAAATGATTTTTTTAAAAATTAATATTCAGTATATTGACATTTCTCACAAGCGCAGTTTTAATCTCCTCAGTTAGTATATAAAGAAACTCAATTCTTTCATCTACAAGTGCGAGTTATATTGTATGTGCGTTGCGTCAGAATTCGTTTATATGTATGCGTATTTCCGTTAAGTTAGTGTCAGAATAAAATAAGCCAATCCAAGCGAACCATTGCGTTGTAGAGTGCAGTCACATGTGTCGAACCAATCATCTATCTCCTATAGAAGACGAGAAAAAATGGTCTTGAGAGCTCATTGGTACATTAAGAAATTCTTTTTCTGCTTTATTCGTTTTTTTCTCCGTGAATATTTTTTTCCGTGGCGCATGCGCTTCAGGCTAAACATTTTACAAAACTCTTGAATTAGAACGTCCAACCGATCATTTGTGAATTCCATAGAATTTTTTTTTAATTTTCGAGAAACGCAGTCATCATATATTACTATTGATTCTGTTTTATCTTATACTAAACTCCTCTCCGTATCCGCTATTCCAAAATTAGTTTCGTAAAATGTACTAAATTAATTTTTTCCGTGTAATTATTTAGACTCAAATGAAGGCTGGGCTGCTTGTTCTGTCTGCGGCCAATGGACTTTGAGCAGTTGTGCTGGTGTCGATGTCAAAGATAAAAATGCAACCTTTACTTGTAAAATATGTCGACAGAAATAGGTTGTTTTTTTTAGTACCCCATCTTACCCGCCGGTGGGGTAAGATGGGGAGATTTGCAATTTTTTCAATATTATTAATTATAAGCTTTTTTAAGAAACAGATGGCCTTTGTACGCCTTTTTTACGAAAGACTGATTCCCAAAGATGATAATTAAAAATTATAATAAAGTGTATATTCGATAATTTTCGTTTTTGGGCGCTTTAAACCTTAAGTACCCCGTCTTGCCCTACTCTCCCCTAGGGGAAAAAATTAAAAAATGAAATTAAACAATTATAAAACATAAATAAATAATTTCATTTTTACTGGTATAAATAATTAATTTAATTGTTTTTTACAGTTGTTTCAACTACGTTTTTTTATTGGCGCCTCCTGTAATTATGATAATTATTTACTTATCATTTTAATTATTTACGCTTCCTGAAACTACAAGAAATAGTTTAAAAGTAGTAAAAACCAGGTTTTCTGTATGTAGACGGTCATTAGAATTAGTAGGGCTTTAATAGGGGTACTTGTTTGGGGCCGCATTAATTTTCCACTTACGGCCCCCATAACATTTTGCGTAACGAAACTGGTGGGGTCCCTAGAAATTTGCCCTATTTTGCCCCTAATATTAAAAGTGTAAACTTGTACGGTTCCTAACAGTATCACATTGCAATTTCTACACGTGATAATATAAACTTTAAAATTATTTATCATATCAATTTGCATTATTATAAATTTATAATCCATTGCGAATACCAGAAATAATTATAACACAATGAAAGGATGGTAATACACTGAAAAAAAATATTTTTGTTTTAAGAGGATTCCTTTTATTTCAAATTTCAATGCATATTTTCCTCTTGTATATGGCTCAAAAAACGTCCTCTTATTTTAATAGGAGGTGTATTCCACGTCAGTTCAACACAAAAAATTTTATGAGGTTTTGGGATTTGGTTGAAATTGGGTAGATTATATCCTCTGGTGGTAGTAAATAAAATCCCCAAACGATTTTAAAAAATTTCAAAAATTGGCGGACATATTGGATTTTTAATTTTTTTGTACCTTTTTTTTGAAAAATATATATCTCTGCTTCTTCTTAACGGATTTTAGTTTATGACCTCTTAAATTGTTCGTATTGAAATATACTTTTATTTAAAAAATTAAAATTAAAAAAATTATTTAAATTTTTTGTTTAAAAAATTAATTTAATTTTTTGAAAAGCCATAGAAAAAATATGCTACCTTCAATTTTGATCATTTTTTTACCATTTGTAGCCATAAATGTGTTGAACTTGTCCTGAAATTTTCATCGTGGGACAGCCAGTAGTTTTTGAGAAAAAAAATAAAACGTAAATCCTCGCATAGCGCTGTAGCGCTCAGTTTTAATGCCGCACGATTGTAAATGGAATTTTAATGAAAGTACGAGTTTTTATTAACCCTAGAACTAAAATATGATTTTTTTTATGGACTAACGAAAAACTGGGGTGGTTTGGTACCCTAGATTTGAAACAATTGTAAAAGGTTACCTTTTTTGTAATTTTTTTAATTTGTCAACAATGTTGCTAATTTGAAAAAATTAAACGGATCTTGAAAGGTAAATAGAGACAATTTTATTTTGTTTAAGGCAACTTGAAAATTTAAATATTATTTACAATATATACAAATGTTAAATGATTTTAAAATAGAATAAAAATTATTTATTACAAAGGAGGTTTCTATTTTTTACGGGGGAGTTTCCGAGGTCTTACAGTTTATCTTTATTTACCTTTTAAAATCCGTTTAATTTTTTCAAATTAGCCACATTGTTGACAAATTAAAAAAATTACAAAAAAGGTAACCTTTTACAATTGTTTCAAATCTGGGATACCAAACCACCCCAGTTTTTCGTTAGTCCATAAAAAAATCATATTTTAGTTCTAGGGTTAATAAAAACTCGTACTTTCATTAAAATTCCATTTACAATCGTGCGGCATTAAAACTGAGCGCTACAGCGCTATGCGAGGATTTACGTTTTATTTTTTTTCTCAAAAACTACTGGCTGTCCCACGATGAAAATTTCAGGACAAGTTCAACACATTTATGGCTACAAATGGTAAAAAAATGATCAAAATTGAAGGTAGCATATTTTTTCTATGGCTTTTCAAAAAATTAAATTAATTTTTTAAACAAAAAATTTAAATAATTTTTTTAATTTTAATTTTTTAAATAAAAGTATATTTCAATACGAACAATTTAAGAGGTCATAAACTAAAATCCGTTAAGAAGAAGCAGAGATATATATTTTTCAAAAAAAAGGTACAAAAAAATTAAAAATCCAATATGTCCGCCAATTTTTGAAATTTTTTAAAATCGCTTAGGGATTTTATTTACTACCACCAGAGGATATAATCTACCCAATTTCAACCGAATCCCAAAACCTAATAAAATTTTTTGTGTTGAACTGACGTGGAATACACCAGGATTATTCTCCAATGAAGAGTTATTTTCTTAATTCAAGAATAAAATGTAAAAGGATTTTAGAAGAGGAATTGTCCTCTCAAAACAAAAATATTTTTTTTCGGTGTAGATTATAAAGAGTATTAATCAGATTATATGCATTATGATTTTTTTTAATAATCCTAATTGCATAATCCATTTATTTCCGTGTAGTTATATAAATAATTGCTATATTTATATAAACAGTTAATTTAAAAACAACCAGGAAGGTTCTTATTTTTATTAACTTAATAATAAATAAAATAAAAACTTATAAATACCTTTTTAAATAATACACTCTTATTTGAATTATTAATTAATTAACAGCTTTAATTTCTTGGAACTTCAATAATATATTTATAATAATTTTTTTAATACAAACAACAATAAAACCAATTTTAATTCAGAATATTTTGAAAATTCAACTATTTTGAAAGATGATTCTGAAATCAATATAGTAAAATATCAACATCGTCAATCATATTATTTAACCTTATTTATTTTAAAATATATTAATAGCTATAGTGTATTAAATTTTGATTTATAGAAACTATAAATGAAATGTTAAATTTTTCATGTCATTTAAATATACTTTAAAATTTTTTTTGCAATTATAAAGTGAGTGAGGAATACAATTATGATAAGAATTGATAAAAATTTACTGAAACTAAAAAATTTATTTAAAAAAATAAAAAAAAAACTTTTTTGATTTTTTTAATATTCATATTGCATTAAAATAATAATTATATAATTCTTTTAATTTAAAATATCAGCAACTATAAGCTTATGCTTATTTATAATATATTAAATTAATTAATTACTTTACTTATTCAAAAAAAATATAATTCATGATAATATAATTTATAATATTAATTATAATAATAATAATAATTTATAATAATTTTTTAATTGAAAAATGTATTCTTATATTTCGACAAATTTATATTAAAATTTATTTTCGTTTCCTATTAAATTTTTATTTAAAATAATGTACGTTTTTTAACATCAATTTTAATATTCAATTGTTAATAGACATTGATATCAAATTATAACTCATTTACTATGAAATAATATTTTTTTCAAATATTTTAATTTGAAAATTATCAACAATAAATTCAATTATGTCATAAAATTCACGCTACATTGCTTTAAATACTATTTTATAACTAACATCATTTTTTATGTAATTCTCTTGTTTCTTTTAACATTTTCATACTTAAAATAGTTTTTCTCTTTAATTTTGTAAGAAATAATCAACTGTTTATATTTAATGATACCCATATTTTCCACTACCCCAATAAAAATGTTCCGCGGAAGTCAAATAACTCAATACACAAGAAAACAGAAAGTTTTCCAATTCCAAAGAAAAATATTGTAAAATATAATTAAGATGCAAAAATATTACAATAAATATTTTTATTTACAATATTGTATTGTATGAAACAAATTGTATGACATAAATGTATGATACATTGAACATATATTCTTTAAAGTATTTAATTTACTTAATTTTCTTTTGCAGCTTTCAACATGGCAGAAAACATGGTCTTTAAATTATTTTCAATTTATTTTACTCTGCTTCTTAAAACTCCAGTGCTTCCATCCCCCTTTGCTTCCACGTTTGTTATCTGAAATAGAAATTGTTATTAAATTATAACTCATTTACTATGAAAAAATGTTAATAGTAGTATTAAATAAGTATAATAAGTTATATTGAATTTATGTAAAAGATTGAAATTTATATTAAGAATGAATTTAAGAATTCAATGTAAATTCAATGTAAATTGTTCGAAAAAAATCTATTTTTTTAAATACAATTTTAATTACATTTTTTTAAAAATATTTCAATTAATCTTTTAGATTTAAAAAAAATTAAAATTCTTCCAAAGAATTAAATTATTTACAAAAATAATTCTTCGTACGAATTCAATTATGTGTAAATTAATTTTGAATTTTTCTATATGGAGCTTAAATATCCATGCAATAAATTTTTAAATCCCAAGAGTATAATAATGACATATAATTATTACAAAAATTTCTAAAAATAATTAATACAATAAAATTATTAAAATAGTACTCACATTTTTTATTAAATTGATATGACTGTTGATATAATTGCCAGTTATTATTTTTTTTATAATAATGAAACTTTTGTTGATTTGGGCCTTCTGTTGTATTATGGGATTGTCGGTTATGTGGAGTTTTGTGTTCTGTATGAGTTTGTGAGGAAGATGTACCATTTGATTCTGTAGGGGAATTGTTTTGAGTATTCTGCTTATTTTTATCCTCTGTGGATTGCACTATAATAAATAAGAAATTTTAAAATTTAATAAACATACCATGATATGAATATCAGTTACATGTGAATCAATCAATTTATATTTGTAACTATTAAAAACTTATAATAAAACTTAATAATAAAAAAACTATTTTATTCAATAATTTTTATTTACAATTTACGTACTTTCTATATGTAATTTTTTTACTAAAACTTTCAAATTTTCAATTTCCCGACTTATAGGACTATCCTCATCACGCATATTTTAATAACTGAAATTAATTTAGAAATACAATTCTAATATTGAGTAAATGGATATTACTCATTCAATATATAATTTAGTTTGAAAACAAATTTTGAAAATTGTAATCAATGACAAATAATCTTTCATTAATATTTACATATGATTAAATTCTTATATATAAGTTGCAGTAAAAATTTATGTAAATTTAATAAAAATTGAATACAATTTTTTTCTAATTTTTATAAATAATTGTCTTACATTTAATGATAACATAAATAAGAATAGGTGATTAATTATAAGAATATTATAAGAATTATATAAATTTTAATTTTAATTAAAAAATTCAAATGAAACGAATTATTATAAACATATTAAATTTCTAAATTTGTTATTTTAAAATTCAAAAACAAATAAATAGCTTGAAATAAAGGAAATTTTTTAAAGATTAAAAAAATTTTAATGGAATAAAAAACACAAATTTACAATTACTATGTTCAAAATAATTTATTAAATTAAATATGTAAATTTACATATCGAAAATTAAAGTTTGTAGTTAACCACTTAACTGTTATGGTATGTGAATTGGATTTGCGCGTGGAGGTAACAGAAGTTGAAAAATGGCTTTAAAAGATTATAAAACTCGCATTTAATGAAAGAAAATAATTTTGTTAAACATTTAAACACTTTTTAATACATTAAAAGATGACAATTATTAATACTTTTTTGCAAAAGGTATTTAAATTTCCATTTCAATCAAATCTCTAAAAAAAATTTTTCGTTAAAAAAATAGTTCCTTAATTTTAAAAAATAAAAATACTATGTTTTAATATAAAAAATCTCTTTGCAGAATTAGCGAATCGCATTCAAGTTATTTAACTTAAACTTTTAGTTATTTAACAAAAACCTAATTTTTAGTAATTTTCCTTTCTTTCTTTATATCTCTCAAAATAGTTAACCTTTTTTTAACTTTCGTAGGCTCATTTTAATTTTAAAAATACCTTTGAAATTTTTTATCATTTAACTTTCGTGACTTACATCTTCTAAATAGATAAATTCTTGTAAAAAATCTCTATTCTATTGAAAAATACGATATACATGAGCCAAAGATAACATTTATAAAATTTTATAACTTTTTTACGGGCGGTACCCATTCGTACATAGAGTACTAATATTTAGGAATATAATGTTACCTCGATTATCCGAGGTAATATGGGGACGAGGTCACTTGGATAATCAAAAACTCAGATAGCACGTACAAATGAAAATTTCAAAAATTTAAATTTTTTTTATGTGTTTAAAGTGTTAAAATGATATTAAACGTTTTATTCGAGTTATTCTGCATTATCCGAGCATGTCCAGTGCCTCGGATAACCCGGAGTCTCGGATAACCGAGATTTTACTGTATATAGAAAAAAGTTTTAAATCATTTAGCGAAGAAAATGACAGATTATGAAGTTCATTATTGATATATTAAATCTTTATATTTAGATACCTCTCCTTATGTTAAATGATAAATATATTACGTGATAATAACTAAATATTTACCGTAAACATCCATTTTTTTATTGATATTTATTACATATATGTTACGTAAATGTAACCATTTTTCATTCTGCATTGCTAGTTTTAATTTTTATTAAATCAATAACTCTTACATAACCACAGCCGATATTATTTAGCACTGCAGTCTTTATCGTACGTCGTTTTTTACATCTTAAAAAGGCGCAGCCGATATTATCCAGCGCAGCCTTTATCATATGTCGTTAGTTTATTACATTTAAAAGAGCGCAGCCGTTATTATCCAGCGCAACTTTTATTATATTTTATTTAAGTAATAGATCTTATAAAGTTGCAGCCGATGTTATCCAGCGCAGCCTTTATCATATGTCGTTTGTTTATTACATTTAAAAAGGCGCAGCTGATATTATCCAGCGCAACTTTTATTATATTTTATTTAAGTAATAGATCTTATAAAGTTGCAGCCGATGTTATCCAGCGCAGCCTTTATCATATGTCGTTTGTTTATTACATTTAAAAAGGCGCAGCTGATATTATTTAGCGCAACTTTTATTATATTTTATTTAAGTACTAGATCTTATAAAGTTGCAGCCGATGTTATCCAGCGCAGCCTTTATCATATGTCGTTTGTTTATTACATTTAAAAAGGCGCAGCTGATATTATCTAGCGCAACTTTTATTATATTTTATTTAAGTAATAGATCTTATAAAGTTGCAGCCGATGTTATCCAGCGCAGCCTTTATCATATGTCGTTTGTTTATTACATTTAAAAAGGTGCGGCCGATATTATCCAGCGCAACTTTTATTATATTTTATTTAAGTAATAGATCTTATAAAGTTGCAGCCGATGTTATCCAGCGCAGCCTTTATCATATGTCGTTTGTTTATTACATTTAAAAAGGTGCGGCCGATATTATCCAGCGCAACTTTTATTATATTTTATTTAAGTTACAGATCTTATAAAGTTGGAGCCGGTGTTATCCAGCGCAGCCTTTTGTGATTTTAATAAAATAACATAATATTATTATACACATTTAATAGGAATACATATTCGGTACGGCGCATAAGTATTCATCTTCGTTTATTTTTATGTGAGCGCATATTCTCTTGATTGTATTTGTTAGTAATGCTGATTCATTGTCCACAACATTTACAATCTTTTTTATCATATTACAATTTGTATCAAAAACATTTGTAACTTTTACTTCTTGTACAATAGTATACTCCATGTTATAGCTTTTATCAAGGATAAAAAAACATATTCTGCAATAGGAATCGTCGTCTAGCAAAATATAAGTATTATCAGAACGATTGTTAACTTTTGTTGATGACATAAATAAACAACCATCTTTTACCATTTTATAATACGAAACTGTATTTGATGAAGTCGGTAATTTTTGTTTCCAAAAAGCATTGACTGATTTTGGTGCACCAAAATATCCAGGTGACGATAGACTAACATTTTTTTGAACATTTTTGTAGCCAATATTATTTAAAAAGTGTTTAGTACTGAATGACAAATTTACAAAATCTTTCATCATGTTCATACTATTTTGCAGACTTATTCGTCGACATATTTGATGGTGAATACCTTTTGGAGAATGAATACCTTTTAGTAATTGCAAGTGTCCAGACTCAAAAGCAAAAGTGTTATGAGTTGGCAATGGTCCCCAATCATAAACGCTTGATGCTAAATTAAGAAGAGAGTGAACATTAAATGTCATAGCGACTCTAGAATAAAGTCGTTCAGTTTCAGCTACGAAATGATTTAATATTTCGTCAGCTTTGTCTATTTCCCGAATAGAAATTTCTTCTTTTGACAGGATATAAAAAGCTTCAACAAAAAGAGCCCAATGCATAGTAAGCTCAAGTGGTAACATTTGAAGAATTATTGGTATACTGTAATAAAAAATCCAATTTTCCCATTCTCTTGCTTTCCAGAACTCTTTTTCTGATAAAGACCTAGTCAATCTTTTGACTTGGTTAGGACTTTTTATTTCTTTCAAAAATTTATCAATATCTTTTACCCACTTGCGAGATAATAAGCCTGCTTTTTCTTTTGTTCCAAACCACGCTTTTGCAAATTGTTTTGCGATTCCAGTGCAAAGATGTAATCCATCAGGTACACAACCGCTAATTAAATCAAATTTTTTAAAATTTATTAAAGGAGATTTGGATTTTACACCAAAAACTGGATTATTTAACGTAGCTGTTGCATAATGAATTACAGTTTTAGCTAAATCTCTTAGTTTTGGAATTTTATTTAATATGGGATATTTTATACATCCACCTTGACGTTTTTTCGCTGATTGTTTTATCCACTTACCACGATGGAGACACTTGTTACAACCGTAATACGCGTTATATTGTACGAATCCTTGAATTGGTGCTCTTGCAACTGAATCGACACAACATAGTTGAGTAAATATTTTTATACGTTTCTCTTCTCCATTAATATTACACAAAACTCCATCATTTGCGAGTTTATTCATATTATTAACAAATGGTGTAAGGAAAACATTCATATTTGGTTTATCTTTACCAATCCAAAGCCCTGCTAATACTAATTCTTGAGTTCTAATATTAAAAGGTAATTCGTTTACCATCAAATATATTGGCCACATTGAACAAGTTGAACTTTCAAACAATGGTGCTCCATCAGTATTAAACGTTGTTGTTGCATAATTATGTCTATCAGTTTCATCTAAAGATTTTACAAAATTACGATATAACTTACCATCGTAAATATCATTAACAAAACCTTTTCTATGTTTCCTTCTATTAACAACGAAATCATAATAATCAGCATTATTTTTTATTAAATCTGAAATAGAAGATGTAGTGTCCATTGTAACGAAGAAATCTTGAAACTCATATTTTTGAACATTAATTATCGTATCACATATTTGGCATTTAATACTGCGATCTTTCTTAGGTTTGAACGTACCTGCATATCCATTACAATTTTTGCAAATTCCATGAAAAGTAGAAACATTTTTGGGATAAAACAATTTATCTAGGAAATACTTAGGATTCGGCAGAATAGGTATTTGAAAAATACAATTAATAAGCCGAAATAGTTCATAAATTGCAGTCAACGACAAAGCATGAAGAAGAGCATACCTAATAATCATGATGAGTATTTCACCCATTGTTGCTTTTACGGGGGTACTTACAGGAATGTTAAAATCTGGATCTGATGTCATATCTTTCAATGTTTTATACTTCTTTTCTGACTCATGATCAACAGTGTTACCTTCTTCAAAATTTACATTGAACTCATCCTCAGATCCTCTTCTGGATCCTGTAATACAATTATAAATTAGAATATTGTAAATTAAGCAGTATACTTAATATTTTTGTAAATGTTCCTACTGGTTTCAATAATGTAAAAAACTATTATAAATTTTAAAATATTATTTTCTAAAAAACTGACAACTACTTAAATTATTGCTATTATTTATATTAATAATTTAAAAAATTATTAAATTTTAGAAATA